ATGTTACTTTTTTTTTTTTTTTTTTTTTTTGCACATTTTCTGAAAAATGTGGAAAAAATGCTCTGAATGAGCAGTAATGCTGACAAAGACGGGCAGGTTTTTAAAAAAAACCTGTGAGATTTCTTTTTACATTTTGACCCTGGCTCCAAAAGACGTTACTCATATTGAACATCCAGTGACAGTCGTAATCACTGCAGCCTTTCAGCAAATCAAATGAAGTGGCTTTTTAATGAACTCTTTAGGAGCAATAGTTGCCACCGAGTTGAATGTATGAGTCATTTATTTTGCACTGCGATACTGTATATACGCTGAATGGATAAAAATAAAAGGTTTTGACTCTGTGTGCTTCTCTGTGTTTGTGTAAATGAGGATTTTGAGCATTTTCGAGTTTAAAATGCACATTATAAGAAAAAGCTGGAAGAGCGCAGTTTACAGAACTTGCCTTTAACCCTCACTTCCCTCCTCCAACAACACCGCTCCTTCTTCCAGGCGAGGGAGGAGGAGCGAAGGCAGAACTTTGCCCGGCTGGTGATGATGGATGGTCAGGACCTGGTGCCTAACCCTGAATCTGTGGAGTGTAGGATCTGCTATGCAGGCTTACAGCCGGGAGATGGCATCCTCCTGAGGGAGTGTCTGCACTGTTTTTGCAGGTAAAATTTAAGGGGTGGCGGTTTTTTGATTTGTTTTGTTTTTCTTGTACACCTTGGGTGACTTTTCTGTGTTTGTGTGCACGCCTGCTTAGAGAGTGCTTGCGCTCTGTCATTATGCTGAGCGAGGAGCCCGAGGTGTCCTGTCCCTACAGAGATGACACATACTCCTGTTCCTGCTTCCTGCAGGAGAGGGAGATCAGAGCTGTGAGTGAGACCAACTAACAGCTTCTGACACTTTTTTTTTTTTTTTTTTATTAAAGCTACAGTTTTAGCTTTTAGTGTTAGCACACATTCACCATCTTCCTCTTGTTTCCTGGTGACAGTTGGTTCCTGCAGAGGAGTATGAACGCTGGCTGCAGAGGGGCCTTTCAGTTGCAGAGTCTCGGTGTGAGGGCAGCTATCACTGTGCTACTCCTGACTGTCTGGGCTGGTGTGTGTATGAGGATACTGTCAATGTCTTCCACTGCCCTGTCTGCAAGAAACACAACTGCCTAATCTGCAAGGTAGAAATCATACACAGTATATACTGGTATAAAATGAAATTTAATAATTTATTCCTGTCTTTTGTTCCTATATTGGTTGCTTGAACTCATGTGATGCATTAGATTTGCACATATACTATGTAGAGATGCAGACTGAACTTTGAACTAATTAATTAGTCCAAGCTCATTTAGAATAAGTTTATTTGAGTGGCTTCTGCCAGGAACAGTTCATTTTAATTGCACATTATGCTGTTAAAAAATGAAAAATACTTTGTAAAAATGAATACATAAATGAAAAAATGTCCAAGTATTGACATGGTTTTAACTGGTTTGGTTGCCTCATGCTAACTGCAAATTGAATAAGAAATGTTTATTTCTGCAAAGAATGCCTGTTTTGCTCATTCCTAGCTATATTTTTATTGAATTTATCCAACTGTCCTAGAGTGATTTACATAAATTACAGTTTTTAAAAGATCCTTATTTGTTCCTCTTTCTATTTTCTCCTCAGTCTATCCATGAGGGTATGAATTGTAAGCAGTACCAGGACGATCTTGCAGCGCGTGCTATCAATGACTCTGCTGCTCGAAGGACAACACATCTACTAAATGTGAGCTACAACAGACATGGAGTTGTGGTCAGAAGTTTTCATACATTCCTTGTGGCATGAATATCACGGTAATTTGGGGTTTTTAGTTATTTCTTTGAACGGCAGGATACATTTTTATTACTCTGAAAAACAAGAATTGGGTGCACGAGTTTCTAATCCATACAGGCTCAGATCTATACATACAACCCCACTAACATTTGGTTAAATATCTCATAGTAAGTTTTACTACGAGCAGATGTTTTGGTAGCCATCAACAAGCTTCTGCTATAATTCTGTCTGTGATATTTAACCACTCTTCTTGGCAGAATTGGTAGAGTTCTTTAAATTAGTTGGTCTCCTGGCACAGACCCGCTTTTAGTCCACAAGTCTTCAGTAGGGTTGAAGTTTGTACATTGGGAAGACCATTGCAGAAGCTTAATGTTAGCCTGCTTTATCCAATCCAAAACCAATTCATGTGTGTATTTGGAATCATTGTCCTGTCTCAACACCAACTGAATCAAAGTTTCAACCATCCAGCTGTTGATTTACGGTGAAGCTGAATAATTTGGAGGTAGTCCTTCTTCATTATTCCATCCATTCTGTGTATTGTACCAGTACCACTGGCAGCAAAACAACCCTAGAACACGATGCTACCACCACCATGCTTCACAGTTTTACTTTGTTTTTAACCCCTTAGCAGTCCTATTAGTCCCCTAAACCATCCAATGTCCCGTGGGCGGTACGTCCGACTGCTAACAGTTTAAGTTTGAAAGCCACACCCTTACTCCTCCAAACATGTGTCTTGCAATTGTGGCCAAATAGCTCAATCTGACCATAAAACACATTTGGCTTGTCCATGGGGGCAGCTGCAAATTTCAGTTGAACTAGATGGTGTTGATTTTGGAGCAGGGGCATCTTTCATGATCAGCACACAAATCCCTTTTATGCAGCAAATAAAAACAAAAAGTTGTAGTCAATCACAATTACTAACAAGACGTGAGCGTGCCTTGGCTTTGTCAAGTTAAAAGACATTGTAGAACCTTCATCACTAATTATTAAAACATTTAAGTGAGTGTATGTATATATTTGTGCCTGTGTGTATACCTTTAAATCTGTGTAGATTAGCGAATATCTCAAATAAATTCAAACCTGTGCAAGAAATTCTTGGTTTTAAAGTAACAAAGTAACAAACGATGTATGCTGAACAGTGCCACCCTGGAAAAAGAACCGTCCAAAGAAATCATTAAAATCCCCAAATTACCATGACAGCCAATGATGAGTGTATGTGAACTTCTAACCACAACATCTGTACTGTATGTGGGATGTGCAACATGACAGAGAGTTCTTTTGAGTTGTACACTGTTTTAAGGCTATTTGTAATGCACAGAGATAGAAGGGACAGTGTTACAGATCCATTTTTACCTCCACTCGTAAGCAGTGAATGGCTTTGTGGTCTAATGCTTACAGACAAACTGATATATACTGGTAATGCTTTCCATATCCTCGGGTCTCATATTCTTTCTTCTTAATCTTGTTCTCATTTTATCTCTCACAAACAGACTCTTGTGCAGTCAGGGGAGGCCATGCGCTGTCCACAGTGTGGCATCATTGTACAGAAGAGAGATGGATGTGACTGGCTGCGCTGTACAGTCTGTCACACTGAGATCTGCTGGGTAACCAGAGGGCCACGCTGGGGGCCAAGGGTATGAAATCTGTCCTTTCTACCTTAACTTTAACAATTTATCTATTTTTGCTTTATTTAGTAACCTTGGTCAGATAGACTCAAAAACTGTTTATGTCCACCTAAAAAGACTGCAAAACCTTGTTTTCCATCAAAGCATGTTCCTCATTCTGTTGCTTTTAAAGGGTCCAGGAGACACCAGTGGAGGATGTCGTTGCAACGTGAACAACCGAAAGTGTCACCCTAAATGCCAAAACTGCCACTGAGAGGGTCAATATGGGTCAGATTGCCCCGAATGAATGAATGACTGAACTTGGGGAAAAAAGCTGCTCTCTCAATAGCATGGAAAGAAAGACTGAGATTTCTATTTAAGCTATATTTAATACAAAACTGTGCAGAATTTATACATTAAATACATACTGAGATCTTTAATCAACAAATCTCTAACAGTCACTTATTTTCACTGGTTTTTCCACTGGAATCCGAATGAAAGAAATAATATTTTTACATGTCGCTGCATCTCACTAATAAGAATGTGGTTAGTTATGTAACGAAGATGAGCGTGGTCAGAATTATGCGGTATAAAAAACAGGAGTATTTACTTTGAATGCATGTGGTGCCTTTTCAGAATGTTTGCACAGCTGATGTAGCAGTACGGGTGCGTTACTTTCTGCTTAAGCAGTTACGAGCCTGGATGCATTACAGAAAACAGAAGTGGCCTTGTTTCTCGTGCACAAAAATCAGTAGCAGGGTGTTTCTGAATGAAACAAAATGTGACAATTTCTCATTGTGATAGATGAATGTGATAAATAGATGAAGCAAGAGTCCCGAGTTACATATAGAAGCATTTCTGAATGTGTGTATGTGTGTGTTTGTATGTCTGCGTGATGCCGTGTAATGACTGCATGGGTGCCTTGTTACCAAAGAGGTTTGAACCGAAACAAGTGTGTGTCTGATTATTCCTTCGATTGGGATCCGTTGGCCTGATGGCTGAGAGAAACCAGACTGTTTTCACAGAGTCGTGTTTTATTACCCACGACTCTGTGTTCCCCCAGAAACTGCTCACATTTGAGTATTGTGTGATGACATCACCAATAAATGTCAACGTGTTAATTAAAAGGCAGGTATTGGTTGTTAAGTTTATATTTCCTGTATGGGGAGGCACATGTAAACACCTTTTGTCAATAAGCTTTTATTCCTGTAGAAGACCTCGGATACAATAAAGTAATTCACATAACAGTGCAAATACTTGGAACATGTTTTTATCCATGTACGCATCAATGCCCTCTCTCTTCACTGGAAAAGTGGGGGGGGGGGGGGGGGGGGGGGGGATGCTAACTTCAAATTCCTGAGTTTTCCCTCGACTACACTACTGCCCAGAACTGACAGGCCAATTAAAGATCCTCACTCCTTTCTGTGTGTAAAAGTCAGCACTGTGCTGCTGACTTTCTGTTGTGCCTTAACAATAAATAAACACCATTCAAACTCACACGTGTGTTTGTGAGTGATTTAATGTAGAACTGAGTGAATGAGCAGCTTTAAAGCTGTCATCGTGCTTTCTAATCCTTTAGTAGGGTAAATTTTTCACAGCTTGTAAATATTCAAAGGCTATTTGTAGCGTCCAAAGAGAAGACTTGGTGACTTCTGCATGTCTTCTTAAATGCACATAAACATTATCCCCTTCTTTCAACTGCTCCCTTTAGGGGATTATTTCCCCATCTCTCCACCTAACTCTAGCGTCCTCCTCCTCCATCAACCTTCTGCATCTCCTCCTTCACTACATCCATGACCCTTCCAAACTGCTCAACCTGATATTTTAATTTCTAATACTGCCCATCCCGTTCACTCCCAATGACAATCTTCATATCTTTAACTCTGACACTTCAGGTGAAGCTGGTTCGCCTCCTGTCTTTCTGTCAGTGCCACCATCTCCAAACCATACGTCATAGCAGTCGTTTCCACCTGCTCCACCCACTCTGCACTCTCTACTTCACCTGTCTTCTGCACTGTGTTGCCTCGGATGCTTGATCCCGGGTATTTAACCTCATCCGCCTTCACAACATCTACATCTAGTATTTTATTACATCTACATCACATTTTATTAATGTTACAATTCATCCATTTTGCGTATTTAATCAGATGGGACCACACTTCAGAACAACAAACTCTTTCAGCAAAAACCCTTTAATCACCTTTCGGTTTCAAGGTTATTCCTCCAGTCCGCCATTCCTGCAGTGGACTTCCTGCGTGCCTTTTATCGCCGTTGTCACATTTTATAGTGCTTTATTGTTGTTGCTGTTTAGCATTAAAAAACAAAACAAGCACTTATTTTCGAGTGCACATGATGTTCGTTTAAGCGCAAAGTCAGTCCCACTTTCCACACCCCCTTCTTCTTTGCGAGCACTTTCACCCAGGAACTCGATATGCTCAAATTATAGACCTCGAGCTCCCTGCAAGAGTTGGGGGAGGCGGAGTTAAGACCGGACAGCGGCACCGAGGAGCTACTTCGTCGTTGTTTCTCTTGGAAAAGGAGGCAGAGCGGGGTTATGGGAGGAGGATTTGACCGACGTCGGATTATCAGAGATTAGCAGACTAGCAGTGCAGCAGCAGTGCCCGGCGCACAGGTGAGTATGTCGGTGCTGTTACTAGCTGCTTTGCTTCGTGTCCGGCATGCTTCACGCTGTGAGCTGCATGCAAAGGAGCTCAGTTCGCATCGGTTTAAGATGTGCATATATCTCAGGTGCAGAAAAACTTCACTCTTGAAGGATTCGGGCAGAGTTTGTAAGGATTTCTGTCTCTTAATGCTGGCTGACCTGTCTGTGATATTCCTGCATGCTTCCTCTGGAATATGCATGCTACTGTCCTACTTAGTGCAGTTTGATCACGTCTGTTCGCTTCATTTTGAAGTAATAGCATCAGATCACCTCTTCCTTTTTTCTGTAAAGACCTAGTGGAGTCTAGATTTGTATAAATGATCACCACATTTGTTTAAACTTACATTTCTGGGACTTTACCGCGCGTAAAGCGTCACCTTGCACAGTAGTGTGGACAAAGTTCAAGTGGATATCAAGGTTAGCGTAGTTATTAATCGTAGACTTTAAAAAAGTTAGTTAGCTGAAATTATTTTGTGAATTTTTACAACTAAGAAAACTACAATTTAGAAAAATAGAGAGATAATATGCATAGTTTTAGTTAGTTTGGTCAAAGTTTTGTTACACCTTTGCTGATGTGGCATTGATGGACATATTTCTAGAGACTGGGTGTCTATAAGACAGCTGCCTTAAAAAAAAAAGAAGACGTTTGTGTTTGTTGTAATACCTGTACTGATTTTCATAAGTCTTTACTCAGACATACAATAATAATTAAAAAGAGTAAAACTAATAAAAACTAAACCGAAACAAGGAAATCCACTCTGGAAACTAAACTGTTTTAAAAGCAAAAAGTCAAAAATGAGATAAATACTAATTAGAAAATGTGAAACTATAGTAACTTTGGTAGCCATGCATGAACTTTGCAGATGCATTAGCGGTGCACTATGAGAGAGGAATGCATGTGTTGTCTCTGCAGTCTGGAGTCATATAAACAAAGAAAAACCTGGAGGTCTAGCAGAGAGAGGAAAATGAGTGAAGGAGTGAGCATGGTGGCTGCTGGCTTAAAAATAAGAAGGTGGTGTTTTTTAAATGAGAAATGTTCCTTCTCCTTCAAATTAAAGGTTCCTTAGTTGCTCCTGTATCAGCACAGTGTTGAATGAATAATTTTAACTTCCACGTTCTCCTGTTCTTTTCTTATTATAGACTTGGGAGTGGCACTTTACTTTCTTCACTATGGCCGAGACTAAGGGGAAATTTGACTTTGCCATCGACCGGGGTGGCACCTTCACCGATGTGTTCGCCCGGCTGCCCGATGGTTGTGAGAGAGTCCTTAAGCTGCTGTCCCGAGACCCCCAGAACTACAAAGATGCTCCCACTGAGGGGATCCGCAGAATCTTGGAGGAGGTAATGTTGTGCTGTCCACCTTCAGCCAAGGAAATATCAGGTTAATTGCTGTCATACTGGCTGTCATTTCGCTGTTTTTATAGATTGTTAATAAGCATGTATCAAAAAAAGCAGAATAGGCGGCTCAATGTGGAAACAATATGTAATATTGAGCAACACTACATTCGTATCCATACATTATCTCTAGGGATAGCTGTATATGATGCTGATGTTTGCATTTCTTGACAGGAAACAGGGAAGGCGTATCCCCGCGATCAGCCTGTAGACACTTCTCTGATTGGCTGGATCAGAATGGGCACTACGGTAGCAACCAACGCGCTGCTGGAGAGGGAGGGAGAAAGGACGGCGCTCCTGGTCACAAAGGGATTCAAGGACCTGCTGCACATTGGCACTCAGGCCAGGCCAAAGCTGTTTGACTTGGTCTGTTTTTTCAGCCTGTACCAGTGATTGTACTGCATGTGGTGCTCATTAGTAGTGTGAGGCACGGCTTGTGTCTCTGCAAGGTTTAGTTATTATCTCGTTGTGCTCAGGCTTGTGGCAAGTACTGGAGTTTGCCCTGAGCCAGCTGTAGAGTTAACACATTAAGTGGTCGCTTATCTGTAAAGCTCAGGTTACGGATCAGTAAACTGTGGCTTACTGTGCTGTACATAGATTTTTTTTTTTCTTTAACCTTTAAGGTCAGCAGAACACACCAACTAAACCTGATAAGCTTTTGCACCATAACAGTCTGAAGCCTTAGCTGGTAAAAGCAGTTACTGTTATTGTTTATCACTTTCTGGCTCTTCCCAGTACATGCGCTTTGAGCTGCCATACCTTGTGTTTGCACGTGCGTAACAGGAGGTCGCGGTGCCTGACGTCCTGTACGAGGAGGTGATCGAGGTGGACGAGCGAGTCGTCCTCAGGCAAGATGGTTGTCAGCTGCCCAGAAAAGATCCCGAACGGATTGTCACAGGTGCGAGGGGCAGTTGTGCGCTCCCTTTACTGCTAATTTCTTCTGCCGTGTTAGCAGTATGTGGCTTCAGGTTTTTAGTCCATCCAGAATTGCCTAATATTATACCTTTTAAACATTAGCAGGTTATCAGTATCAGTGTGAGCCTTTAGCTAAAGCATTGTTGTTACTCCCAAAGATCTAATTTCCACATCTGAAAAGTGAACTGATGACTTCATGGGCTCAGTCACTGGTTTCATGCTATATTGTAAATTACTGGAGTCAGAAAGGAGAATCCTTCAGGTATATGCTCATGTCCCATTTCAGTACGCTTCATAAACTGCACTGCCAGTGGGAACGTGGAACAGTGGGTACGCCCATCTTTCACACTGACTGTGCCACTCCACAAAGCGTCGTGTGGTGCCTGTACAAACTGTGGAATCTTGTCAATCTAAACAGACTGAATAATCATGAGGTTAATTAAAGCAGTAATTCAGCTACCTCGACTTCCTTGAAAAACTGACAGCTATAACAAGCTAACAAGCACTAAATAGCCCATTATTTATACAATAATAATGCATTTGCCCAACAAGCAAAACAATGGTTCAAGTGCAAAATGCAGCTTTGCATTTTTAATGCAAAATGCAAAGCATGGCAACACATCTAATCTGTGGAAACACCTGGATGAAGCGCAATGATTTTCTTTGGCATTGTGTGTAAATATTTTAAATGTGTAACAAAATATTTCAGGTGAGAGTTATGTTTTGAATTTATTTTTTCAGAGTGAGGAAAGTAATGAAAATAAGTTCTGTTGGCTATTGGTTCAAACATGGAAGCCTTAACTGACATAATTTCAGTTAATCCCACTAATCCCTTTGTGTGTCTTTCCCAGGCGGTACTGGGGATTCCCTTGAGGTGTGGAAGGAGTTAGACTTGGAGCAAGTAGAAAAGGACCTGAGAGGAGTTTTGGCCCGTGGTATCACCAGTCTGGCTGTCCTTCTTCTGCACTCGTACACGTCAGTATTACAGCTTCTTTAATATTTACTCACGATCCTAGTCTGTTCTCTTGTCCTCTCCCAGTAACTTGCTTCCATTCTATAAATAAGACCTCGGTCTACCGACGTCATACCTCAGCAGCCTTATCTCTTATCTCGGTACCCAATAGTTCTCATTTTATGCTTTTTGTCACATGTCACACTGAAAGCCCAGACTTGGTGTTCTTTGCTTTAAGAAGAAGGTGATCAATGGACACTGAAGTGATAAGACAAACACATTATACTGCAGAACAAATTACGTAAGAGTTTAATGTTTCACTTGCTTTCTAGGATTACGTCTCTTTCTCTCTGTGCTTCAGATGGTCCGAGCATGAGAAAGCAGTGGGCTCTCTGGCTCGTCGCTTGGGCTTCAGCCAGGTGTCTCTTTCCAGTGAGGTCATGCCGATGGTGCGGGCGGTGCCTCGAGGATATACAGTCTGCGCCGATGCCTACCTCACACCCAAAATTCACCAGTATCTAAAAGGTTTCACCTCGGGCTTCAAGGATGGCCTGAAGGTTTGTTTTTCTCGCGCATCAGTCGATATGTTTCAGGGGTTGACAATTTTCAGAACTCTATTGTATGCATAAGTACTTTTCCTCTCAGTTAGACACTCTCCCACCACCCCTTTAAGTACCACCAGAGACAAACAGCAGCTCTCAACCATACAGCCCACATATAAATATGTACTTAACCACATCTTTAAACTAGTCTGAAAACATAAACCTCTCATGTCTGTGTGTCTTCAGGATGTAGATGTGTTGTTCATGCAGTCAGATGGAGGCTTGACTCCCATGGAGCAGTTCTGCGGTTCACGGGCTATTCTATCCGGCCCGGCGGGAGGTGTGGTGGGATACGCCATCACCTCTTACAGCCAGATGGAGAAAAAGCCTGTGATTGGCTTTGACATGGGCGGTGAGTGTATGTGGGAGCAAAGGAGACAACTGAGCATCTTCTGGATATTGTCTTGAAGTCTTTTTGTGTGATCTTCATACGGTTTGTTGTCTTCCATGTGCCACATTCAGGATTTGATATTTCTGATCCTATGGAGTAAAGTTACGCTTCTCTTTTGGGCGATGTTTTTAACTTTGGTTTTTATCTTTAGCTTTTCGTGCCTACATGCTCTCGTTTGTTGTTGTCTGCAGGAACGTCCACAGATGTGAGTCGGTATGCAGGCCAGTATGAGCATGTGTTTGAGGCTACCACAGCTGGAGTCACCCTGCAAGCACCTCAGCTGGACATCAACACTGTGGCTGCAGGCGGAGGATCGCGACTGTTTTTCAGGCAAGTTTGCACAAATTGTGTAACTGACGGTGGGACTAGCTCCATATTTGCAAGCAATCTTCTATAATACCAGTATAATGTGAAGATGTGGTAATTGTGATATTACCCATTTTGACTTTGATTGTTTTATATTTTATTTATTTTCTTATTTAATGACTACTCTCTGTATTTCTCTTCTTTCTAACCCTACCAGATCAGGGATGTTTGTAGTTGGACCAGAGTCTGCAGGAGCACATCCAGGACCAGCCTGCTACAGAAAAGGTAACAGCTTTTCCATTTTCTTTCTTTCTTTCTTTCTTTCTTTCTTTCTTTCTTCTCTCTTTCTGTCTCTCTTCTTTCTCTCTCTCTTCTCTCTCTCTCTCTCTCTCTCTCTCTTTCTCTCTTCTTCTCTCTCTCTCTCTCTCTCTTGTCTCTCTCTCTCTCTCTCTCTCTCTCTCTCTCTCTCTCTATCTATCTAGTGAACCATTAATTGTGCAGTTTCAGCTCTTTTTTTCTCTTTTTTAAATCATTATACTGAGTCCAGCACCCACTGGCACGGAGCTTGTTCTCCTGTCCTGTTCCCGAGGTTAATCATCCAATTTATGCGTCAGAAGGCTGGAAATTGGCACGTCCAAAGTTGAGATGATATAACACAAACTTGCCTCATAGTTCTCAGTCAGAACTGTAAAGTGTGTTAACAAAAAGAAATCGGAGTCTTCTTTGTTGACGTTCCCTGTAGATTCATTGGTTAGCCTTAAGCTTCATTTCAGATACCACCATCCTCGGTGCCAAGTAAAGCACTGAACGCTAACGCTGACTCAAAACTCAGAACAATGGGGTTATTGAAAAACAGACCGAGACCTGATTCCCTGTCGGGTGCTGTGGTATTTTCCCAGGTGGACCTCTGACTGTGACAGATGCTAACTTAGCCCTGGGTCGTCTCATCCCTTCCTTCTTCCCAAAGATCTTCGGGCCCAAAGAGAATGAGCCTTTGTCCCTGGAAGAGACCACGAAGCATTTCCGTCAACTCACTGAAGAGATCAACGTCTTCCTGTCTTCAAACCAATCACAGGCACTGATATGTACTGGACTACTTTGTGGAGTAAGTTCAAATATTTATGATGATATTAGGTTTAAATACTCTTCGTGCTTTCATTTGAAGGCTGATGCTAATGGGGCCAACCACTCACACAGCAGACAATCAGAGATGAGCATGGAAGCGGTTGCCATGGGATTCATTCGTGTCGCCAATGAGGCAATGTGCCGGCCAATCAGAGCTCTCACACAGGTATGTTTGGTATTAAACTGTGTTTTCTACATTTCAGCATAAAAAATCATCTTGTTGTTCTCTCTCCCACTCATTTCCCACCTGCTCCACTCTTGCAGGCCAAAGGCCACGATACATCTCAGCATGTGTTGGCGTGTTTCGGGGGGGCAGGCGGTCAACATGCGTGTGCGATTGCCCGCTCTCTTGGAATGAAGACTGTCTTTATACATAAGTAAGGCTTCTAGATTCTGTTTCACTAGAGGTGAAAGACAGCTGAGAGCCACGGAGTGAGCAGTTGCCCGTGTTTATGATTTGCAGGTACAGCGGCGTGCTGTCAGCGTACGGTCTGGCTCTAGCAGATGTGGTGGAGGAGGTGCAGGAGCCGTGCTCTCTGCAGTACGAGCCGGCGTCCTTCAGTGAGCTTGATCAAAGGGTTGAGCAGCTATCCAAACGCTGCCACGATACACTCCGTGCACGAGGCTTCACCAGGTTAGAAACCACAAAACAATACATGGGCTGGGGTCAAGCACATCTGTAAGACTCCAGGCATGCTAGTCAACTTTCAAAGCTAAACCGCATACTGCAGCTTTTACAGCAGCATGGCTTTATAGCAGAAGAGTCTGGATGTTAAACTGGTGTGCCTGCATTCCAGTATCTGCTTTCTTCCGGTCCCAGATGTTTACACACTATTGTTAAAAGAAGAGGAGGTGCTACTCAGTAGTAAACATGGCTGTGTCCCACCTCTTTTGAGACGTGTAGCTGTTATAAAAATCAGAATTTGCTGATATTTTTGTAAAAATGGTTCATTTTCTCAATTTCTCGCTTTAAAAATTTGATATGTGATATGTTCTATTTTGAATAAAATATGAGCTTATGAGATTTGCAAATCTTTGCATTCTGTTTTTAGCTTTATTCTGCACAGGGTCCCAACGTTTTTGGAATCGGGGGTTGTATATAAAATTCTTAAATCCACAGAATAAAGTGAAGTATGAATATGTGTGAAACAAGTAGAGGTGACTATAAAAGTTTCTGTCCATTCAATTCGGATATGCATAATTTAAAGGATGAATGTTAAGGAGGCACCAACTCATTTAAAGATTTAAAAGCAAATAATAAAATGAAAAAGGGACTTTGTGGCCTTGCTTACATTTTGTTAAAGTGAAAAAAGCAAAGACGTGAATGTTAAGAAGTCATGATGTTTGTTGAACAATCATAGCCGCTAGACTAAAGTAGTCTTGTTTGTCGTCCGCTTCAGCGGTCAGATAACCACCGAGGTTTTCCTCCACATGCGTTACGAGGGCACGGACTGCGCTCTCATGGTTACCGCTGCCGGATACCCCAGCAACGCCCGGTCCTGTCGAGCCGGAGACTTTCGCAGTGCCTTCACCAAACGGTTTGCTCCTCTTCTCTTTACCCATTCATGTCCTGAGCTTCTGGCTGCTACATGTTTTCGCTTTCAGAGGGCTAAATCACTGCTGCGTACACTTTGTTTATATTTTTGGCTGTTGTTGTTCATCTTCTTTTATCTTTAGGAGAAAATATTACATGACATTTGTACACAGGACCCTTGATTTCTTACTCCTCCTCTTAACTCTTTTTTTCCTTCTTCTTATTACAGTTATCTGAAGGAGTTCGGGTTCACCATCCCAGACAGACCCATCATGGTGGATGACATCAGAGTGAGGGGTTGTGGGCAATCTGGTATTACATCAGTTTACAAAGCAGAAATGGGACACAGACAGGCCAAACCAGCCACGGTAAATGGAGTCACTTACCGGGTACCACATATATCACTTATCAGACATGATCACACGCAGGCAGTCAGAAAAACGATCAAACCTGGGCCCCTGCATGGTCACCGGCTCAAGCTGTGACCACGTCTGAGTTTTTAGAAGCTGAAAAAAAAGAGCCTTTTAATAAAACAAAGGTGGTTACCAGCAGGTGAACATAAAAAAGCAGCATGGGAGAAGTGGGAGATGTTCACAGACAAATGTTCTGTTCCATCATTGTAATATTGATGTTTTACCTAAACTTGTGGGCACATTTATTTCATGTCACTCTGTTTCTGCTCTTCTGTGTAGATAACCAAGTGTTACTTCGAGGGTGGTTACGTCGACACCAGTGTGTATCTATGGGAGGAGCTGCCGTGTGGTCACAGCATCCAGGGACCAGCCATCATCATTGACAAAAACAGGCAGGCATTTGCTTTTTGCTGACAACTACCAAATTAAACATATCTAAATAATGTTTTATATTCTTTATGCTCTCCTTTTTGCATTTTTTGAACTCAGGACATTAAAATCTATTTAAATTAAGCAAATTAAACCTTTGCGTTATCAGTTGAGGTCCTTGTTTCAGCAGTTTTTACTTCTGTGGATGTGATTTTTAATTTCCTGTGCTGATTTTGAAATGTATTGTACTTTGTACATGATTTGCTCCGGTTTCCTCCATCAGCACCATCCTGGTGGAGCCCTGTTGTGAGGCTCGTCTGACAGAAGGTGGTGACGTTTGCGTGACGGTAGGCTCAGACCCTCACTGCGCCCTCGGCACTGAGCTCAACACAGTGCAGCTCTCCATCTTCTCCCATCGCTTCATGAGCATCGCGGGTATGCCAGCATGCAAAATCAGATGAGGAAGAAGGTTGTTGAAGAGTATGAACTTCCTGTTTACCTCTTCTGTCTTCCCCTACAGAGCAGATGGGCAGAGTTCTGCAAAGAACCTCCATCTCCACGAACATCAAGGAGCGACTTGACTTCTCCTGTGCTGTGTTTGGACAGGATGGAGGTCTGGTGTCCAACGCACCTCACATCCCCGTCCACCTGGGAGCCATGCAGGAGACTGTCCAGTACCAGGTGAGGCACGAACAGTCCAGCCACGTGTGAGTGAGTTTTTCTTAGTGTGGCCATACACGTTGAATGACAAAAGGATGTTGTTTTTTTTCTTCTGTGAGCAGCTCAGATCACTTGGGAATAAGCTCAAAGAAGGGGATGTGATTTTGAGTAACCACCCATCTGCTGGGGGCAGCCATCTCCCAGACCTCACAGTGATCACACCGGTCAGTCCACCAAGCTTTTCAACACTATTTCTTCCCTCAAATTCTTCTTCTATTCTTTCCTCATTGCCTTTTTTCTTTCTTGTTCAGGTGTTTAGAAAAGGAGTGAGCGGCCCTGTGTTCTTTGTGGCCAGCAGGGGGCACCACGCCGACATAGGTGGCATCACTCCAGGCTCCATGCCACCCCATTCCACTTCCCTTCAGCAGGAGGGCGCTGTCTTCACTTCCTTTAAGCTTGTCACTGGTGGGGTCTTCCAGGAAGAAGGTAAGTGAGGAGGAGACGAGTCAGGACCTGAATGGGATACACTACTGAAAGGAGAGAGCATAGAAAATCAAGAGATGACACTTAACTTAAGATAAAGAGTCATTCTTTGGCACTTAAAGGACTCTTTGTTTTTAAAATTACTAGTAAATAATAGTTGTTGTTTTTTTTTATTGCTCTGTTGACAATTTTATTTTATTTTTTTAGCATTCATTTTGTTTTCTAGACCCCTTACTTCCTCTCCCATCTCTCTGTATCAGCTGTAACTGAAGCTCTGATAGCTCCAGCCCAATACCCAGGCTGCTCTGGGACTCGAAATCTCCATGACAACCTGTCAGACCTGCGGGCTCAGGTGGCGGCCAATCAGAGAGGGAGCCAGCTGGTGGGAGAGCTGATTGACAGTTATGGACTTGCTGTGGTTCAGGCCTACATGGGATACATCCAGGTAAACTGTTGCTACAAGCAAAAATTTAAAAAAGAAAATTTAGATTTTTTTGCCCCTCAAAAGGTTGATGATTTCAAATCTCAGTGACCTCAGTATTCTTATTTCTGAAAAGTACGGGCTATGAGGGTGTTGTAAAGCCTCTGTGCATTTTAGAGCAACGCAGAACTGGCAGTGAGGGACATGCTGAGAGACTTTGCACGGCGGCGGCGGCGGCGGCAGGAGACGGGCTCCTTGGAGGTGGAGTCAGAGGATTTCATGGACGACGGAACACCAATCAGACTGCGGGTTCAGATTAATGAAGAAGAGGTGAGGAGGAATCGTAACACAGCATATTTATTAGTTTGCAAAGCTGGGATAGAAACCGCTCTTCAAGAAGGACTGTGATTGGTTAAATGTGTGAACCTCCTTCTTTACAGGGCAGTGCGGTGTTTGACTTCACAGGGACAGGAACAGAGGTGTGGGGGAACTGCAACGCTCCACGGGCCATCACCCTGTCTGCTCTTATCTACTGCCTGCGCTGCATGGTTGGACAGGACATCCCCCTCAATCAGGTGAAAATCCAGTTCTAGGAGCTCTTGGCTCACTTTGAATAACTCGTGGTTTGAATGTTGGTTGTAATTTTTGGGGCGGGGCGTGATTCATCTGGGCTGCTTTTTTGACCACCTTTCTTTTCCCATGTTTAGGGTTGCCTCGCACCCATCAATGTCATCATCCCTCCTGGGTCCATCCTCCAGCCTTCCCAGAATGCAGCTGTGGTTGGAGGAAACGTGCTCACATCCCAGAGAGTGGTTGATGTGATTTTTAAGGCGTTTGAGGTGTGCGCTGCCTCACAGGTAAATGATATTCCAAAATATGTTTGCAAAAATGCATGTTTCTACTGTGAAGCTTGACTGATGAAGCATACATTTGATAGCTATATACCGCTTTTCTACTGTTGTGTGTTTTCCACCTGTAGAGTAAACAACTTGTTGACATGGTGTGAAACACAATGCATTGGCATTCAACTGACTAGTTAAGGGTGTTTTGTTTATTTCGCTCCTTCCATTAGGGCTGTATGAACAACATTTCATTTGGAAGTGAGAAAATTGGTTATTATGAGACAGTTGCTGGAGGAGCTGGGGCAGGGCCGGGCTGGAACGGGCGGAGTGGAGTTCATACTCACATGACAAACACCCGCATCACTGACCCAGAGATTCTGGAGAAGAGGTGGGATATAAGTTGACGATTTGTGTCGTGTGATGATATCATTTCTGTTATTCACCTGAATGCCGTCTGTGTCCTTCTGATGTTCAGGTATCCAGTGGTTTTAGAGCAGTTCTCTCTCCGGCCCGGCTCAGGGGGTGCAGGGAAGTACTGCGGTGGAGACGGTGTGATTCGTAAACTTCTGTTCAGGAACAAGGTTGTTCTGTCCGTACTGACAGAGAGGCGATCCACTCGCCCCTATGGCCTCCGGGGTAAATTTTCAATATCAAAGCCTGATGACAGTCCCAATGTCCTCAACAATTTAAAAAAAAAAAGTCTAAATGCTCACATTTTCCTTACTTAATCTTAAAAAATGTAATCTTTTGTTGGCGGTCAGGGGGAGATGATGGTGTAGCAGGGCTGAACCTCCTCCACAGAGCTGAAGGCAGAGTCCTCAACCTGGGAGCCAAGACCAGTGTCAGCCTTGACCCCGGGGTAAGGCTGTGCACGTGTGAAGCACCGTCGTGCATTAGTGTACTTATAATGACACTACACAGAAAACATGCCAGCCCAGAATAACTATATACAAGATGGCCGTAGCATCCAAGTCTGAAAACAACAGAAAGTTGAAGCCAGCGGCCATCAGTGGGCTCTGGTTGCAAAAAGCAATCTAAATCTATATCTGAGGTGTCTTGAATTATTGATTTCTATAGGAAAATGAGCCTACTTCTTGTTTACTGTAAACTCATGAAAAAAGCATTTGTCTCTTGTTACAATTTTTATTTTTATTAGTTTTTAGATTATTTTGGGGTCATTTTGCCTTCATTAGATACTGAAGCAAGGAAGATAGACAGACAAGAAAGAAAGGGGAAGTCACTGAGCAATTTAGATAAAAGTGGCAGAACTGAAACGGGTTAAACTTAAGGACATGGCTTTATTGTGTTTGAAAAACCATCGATTATTATCATGGCGGCAACATCAATTGCTTTGGTGGTTTTTAAGCCTTGTGTTTAGCAGGGTTGGCCACTTCCAAGTTAAAGGAAGTAGGACAGGAACACCCAGAGTCCAGTTTCCTCTTGGAAGTGGAAATGAAGCAGGTGGAGGGCTCGGATGGAGATTGGGAGGAAGTGGGTCATATGAATGGGAGCCTGAAAGGCAGAATGACAGAAGAAGCTACTCGGTTCAGAAAAGGCTGGAAAGAAATGACAACATGAGAAAGCAGTGCAGGCAGATTAGTGATGCATTTAAAGCCAGAACTGCGCAGCTATCTTAAATTATAATTCACTTTGATATTAAATAACAAGCTAACGTTGGTGAATCAAAAATGTGCTGATAAACAAATTGTATGCACCAGAGAAACTGAACATCTGTCCAGTCAGAGCAGAGATGTCAAACCTATATTACATCATGGGTCACGTACAGCCCACTTTAGTGTTAAGTGGTCCAGACCAGTGAACATTCCCTATTTGTCACTGCACAGAAACAACTACACATTGAATCCTGGAGATATCTTAACATAAGAAAAACAACTGCAGTTACAACAGTATGTCGTTTTTCTACACTATAGAGACTCGTGACTTAAAAATACAGTTTAAACTCCAGAATTTATGCCCTCCGCATTTTTTCCAAAGCAGTCCAGTGGGCTGGATTGGAGTCTTTGTAAGGCATATTCTGACACCCCTATCTTAGAAAGCCTTTGTTTCCAACCGTAGGCTGAAGAACAAAATAACTGCGCCCACCTGTTACACCCCTAATAATGCATTACTTTAACATGAAATGGCACACTGGCCATGAAGACCAAAATCATTGCTTGGGTTGGGTATAAACATGGAAACCAAGACTTAAGTAACACCTAGAGGAGCTTCGTTTTGTGGTACTTCTGTTGCTTGATCACAGCTTTTGTGTTTGTGTGTGTCCCCAAACAGGACATGTTCTGCCTCTACACCCCTGGAGGAGGTGGATATGGAAAAGAAGAGGAAGCAAACAATAGGCCTCAGACCAAGCGAAGGCGCTTGAATGAGACATTCTCCGAGAGGGGTAGCATCTTTGAATACAGAATGGCACAAGAGGGAGTGTGAAAAGACGTGAGAAAAGGAGGAAGAGTTAAGACAGTTTTGTCATTGTACTGCAAAATATTTGCGAGACACATACTGAGTAAAAAGGATTTCAAGCCTACATGCAGGCTGTCAGAATTTCAGAATTTTACTTGAACACCATTAAAAGATTTTTTTTTTTTTTTTTGCAGTGTCCGTGTTTAAAAGATGCAGCACATGTGGCGTGTTACACAGACAGACTGTGCTTACATTTGCAGGGAAGTTGGCTAAATACTAATAACTCAGGCTGGGTCTGTCCTCACCAGACTAAATATGGCATCAAAGGACCTTTGTAACGGACATACAGTTGTTATATGTCGCATATCCATCGCTCTGTTCTTATACTGAATCTACTCAGTAGTTTTAATGTTTAGTTCCATTTGATGCTTTTTCAAAAAGCATTAATTTAGACCTCAAAGAGTCTTTTTTTTGTCTAATATCGATTTCAAGATGTTTTTCTTGTCCTAACAAATCAGACAAATAAACTCTATTTCTACTAAAAAGATTTTTTTTGCACCATAGCAGTCACACACACACAGATTTACTCAAAATTTCAAATGACACGACATTGTGTCGCACAAACTTCACTCATGAGGACAGTTTAAGCTTCAAATGCATTGAAACTAAACTGAATTGTGATCCAGGCACGTGCAGGCTCAAATTATTTGACCTGGATCATGGATAGTTAATGAAAATAGTTTGATTAGGATGACTTCTGACATGCCACAAAAAAAATCCCAGGATTGTTGAATGTGTTGGTGCGGGGTGGGGGCTTGTCCCTGTTTAAAGTGTTGTCCCCTCCTCCCATCTCTGGGTCAGGAATGATCGTGGAGCAGAGCAGGAAGGATAGTGAGGGAGTGCAGGCATGCGTATGCAGCAGATAAAGAGATAGTGGTCACTGCAGGGGAGGCAGCAGGAGGCTGACGGCTGCTGGACGATTGATGCAAATCAGCTGTGTGTGTGTGTGTGTGTGTGTGTGTGTGTGTGTGTGTGTGTTGTTGTGGTGTGTGTGTGTGTGTGTGTGTGTGTGTGTGTGTGTGTGTGTGGTGTGTGTCTGTGTGTGTGTGTGTGTGTGTGTGTATATAGCTGTGCTAGAAACTCCCATTATGGAGGCCGTGGACTGTGGATCAAAGAAAGCTTCCTTGTTTCTGGATTACAGTTCCTGTGATAAAACAATCTCTCTGCTGCTGCTGCTTGGCCCACTCTGTCTTTTCACCTTATCCACTGGCTTATTATCAGTATTAACTTTAGGAAAGTACTAAAGATAAAAAGAAATGAGAGAAACTAGATTCACAAAATACAAAGGAAAGGGGGAAAAAGGAGTATTTAAAGACACATAAATGTTACACTCACACTCCGTCACACCAGTCAAAGCAGTCAGATGTGTTGGCGTCACTAGAACAGCTTAAAAAAAAGTCTGTTACCAAAAATACCCACAAAAAAACTGTTTGCATAAAAAAGAGAGATTGGAGAAGCTCAAAGACACATGCTAGAAAAAAATATTTCATTGCAAATCCCCAAAAGCTGATTGATTGCAAATATTTAAGTGCATTGCCATTTAGTTTTTCAATTGATACATTTGTTTCTCATATAGTAAATAAAGTAATAATAATGACAAATTAATTTCTTGGCAGTTTCAAAACAGTCAAGGACAGCTTATAGCACAAAAATAACAAAAACAATATAAAAAGATTTAAAATCACGAGGCTGAGCGTGAGGTACTTAAGTGTTTTTTCTTTTTCTTTTACTCCCATGCAATTTCAAGTAGGAATTTCAAGTTAATTTATTTAAATATTTCAATAATGTCATTTTTACAACCTTCACTTACATAACAATACATTCAAACAAGCCTCATCCATCAGTCATATGGTATTCGCATATGTAAATTCAGTGTAATTTGTGATGATGTAACACTCAGAAGACATTCTCTTGTTCTTTTTATTTTGAGGTGACACAAAATACCTGAGGTTAAATAGGTTGGCTTGTAGCAGACCAGCTACACCGCTGCTTTATATATAAAGGGCATCAGAAGATTTATTCACAAAATAATCATGAAAAAAATAGCTTGTTATTTTCACGTGACTAGCCTAAGCTTTATATTTAAAAATTTTGATTCTCAAAATACAAAAGTTCTGATTTTTTTTTTTTAAAGTAACAGAAACCATTATCTAAAACCAGTGATCCTGCATATAAAGAAAACATGCTTACCAGCCACTTCATTAGGTACACCTATTGAACTTTTCATTAATACAAATCTGCTAATCACACAGCAGCAACTCAGTTTATTTATTTATATAGACATGGTCAAAATGACCTGCAGAAGTTAGAAAGATTAGACTTAATTGACTAATTTAATTGACTTTGATCACTCCACGGTTGGTCCCAGACTGGCTTGTCTGAGTATTTTAGAAACTGCCGATCCACTGGGATTTTCCCACACAACCATCTCTAGGGTTTGCACAGTAGTCCAAAAACGGGGGAAATATCAAGTCAGTGGCAGGAAAGGGGGAAAAAAACAGTTACTGAATAACTACTCATTACATCCAGGGTATGCAGAAGAGCATCTCTGGGTACAAAAACTGCTGATCCTTAAAGCAGATGAGAAACAGCAGAGGAGTACCACACCAGGTGCCACTCCTGTCAGGTAAGAACGGGAAATTGAGGATACAATTTGCAAAGGATCACCAAAATTGTACAATAGAAGATTGTAAGAATGTTTGATTTGATGAGGCTTGATTTCTGCTGCAACATTTGGATGTCAGAGTTGGAATCTTGGATTAAAATAAAACAAAACTTAAAAGCATGGATCCATCCTGTCTTGTATCAACAGTTCAGGCTGGTGCTGGTCAGGGCCGTGCAGAGAGGTTTAAAGGGGCGGGTGCTCAAGCCCCTCTAGCCCCCCCCTCTGCACGTGCCTGGTGCTGGTCATCTAATAATGTGGATGATATTTCTTTTAGTCACCCAGATATGAACGGAGAATTGTTTAAATGCCACAGCCTACCCAATGTCCTCAGATGACCTGGACAGTAACTAGATCTCAGTCAAACAGAGCATATTTGGGATGTAGTGGAATAGGAGATTTGTATCATGGATGTGCAGCTGACAAATCTACAACTGTGTGATTAACTTCATGTCAATAAGGATAAAAATCTCTGGAGAAATGTTTCCAGTTCCTTATTGAATTGAAGGAAACTCAAAACACAACGTGGGGTCCCACTCACTGCTAATAAGGTGTACCTAATAAAGTGGCTGCAGAGTGTAAATAAACATAAATAGTGCAACCACAATATGGCATATTCATGTAAAGTTAGCAGGATTTTGCACTTAACAGCGTAATTGTTATACAGCCTCATAAAACACTGAACAGCACTGTTAATATAAACATTTTATTTACATACCCTGTTAAACTCCAGAACATTCTTTGGATACCCAAAACTTTTGAGCTGACCTACTCAGTACTGTAAAAAAAGAAATTGTAAGAAAAATCACAGTAAAATGTCAGAAAACTAACAAAACATTCACTTGTCAAGGTAAGGAGACTTTTAAAAGCAGCTTCCTATAAAAGATGATTGTAATGGCATTAAAATAGTGCAAAATAACCAGCAGTGCAAATTCTGCAGGAAATGATTCAGTTTGAGGTACGTTTTGGCTGTCAGGATGTGAAAAATAGTCTCCAGTGTCATGACAAGCTGTCAGATTCTCAGATTATATCACTTGAACTGACTTCAGACTAAAACAAAGATATTACAAAAATTACACTGTCTCCAGAAATCTTTTGTTTTCTTCCCAGTACAGATTTCCTTTCCCCTTACACACAATGACAGAAAAAAAGAGTAAACAAGGCCAATGCCACCATCAATAGAAGCATCACAGATGTACATGAACAAATGGTATCTTTTGGTATCTATCATAATTTAGATGTAGGCACTGATCTGTGCACTGTCGCACCATAAAGACAAAGATGCAATGTCTTCATTTACTAACTCTACAGTGTCAGTCTTTAGCTCATATTTACTGCATAGGCCTTGTAGTCCAGTTCTTTGTGGCTTTGTATGTGTAATACATTCAGTAGTCACAATAGATAGAAAACATTCAAAAAATGATAATAAAGGTTAAAAAAAAAAGAAGCTTGTTTATGCAAATAAAGAAACAGTGCAAACTATAGGTGCAGTGCAATGACTTTACACAGTTTCACTGAAAGACTGAGGTAGATACTCGTTTTGTTGTACAGTTATTATAAAAGGTTTTCTTTCAGTGAAGCCATGTAATACTCCATACACTGTTTCTTTTTTTTTTTTAAATTGCAACATAAAAACACTTTCATCTCCTCCTGATAAAACTCTGAGTCAATTGATAACATTGTCTACAGCTCAGCGAGTTTTGTTTTTTACATTTATTGTAGTATTTCTTGAGTTTGTGGAAGTGGCAAACAAAATATAGTTCCTTTATGGATCTTGGTGTGCATCCAGTTGTTTGTCATTGTGGTTTTGTATCCTGTTTGAGTGACAGTAATACTCAGTATTGATGGTACCGGTTGAGAGGAGCCCCGTTCTGCAAAGAGTACTGACCGGGCTGCTGATAGTGTGGGTGAGAGTTTTGACTGGCTGGTACCAGCACATCAAACACGCTCTTATTTGGAGGCACAGATTGCAACATGTTGTCCAGGTCCATGAGTAAAGGAGGGGCTCTCACTGAAACTTGTCTAGTGGGGAGGATGGGCCAGTATGTATGGCCCAAGAAGTGACTTGGTGTCATGGGAGAGCTACCATAGCCGTAGATGGGTAGCCCGCTGTGCAGGGGCATGAGAGGACCCCCGTTGAAACGCATGCTAGGTGGGGCAACGACATTAGGGGGTGCATATTTAGCGTAGGAGGTGGGGAGCTCCCATGGAGGTGGTACAGTTTCCCGTCTGGCTGATTTCTGCAGTGGTGGCCTGCAAATATCTCCCCCTGCTTCCACATCAGGAGGAACACGCTTCCCAGTTACTCCTTTCCACTCTTCATCAGATGAAGACGAGGAAGAGGAGGACGTGGAGGCTGGGCTTGCAGAGCTGGCAGAGGCACTCCGAGCAGAGGAGGTATAACGATGTTCCGGAGCCGGTGAAGGCCGAGCCCGAGTCACCTCACCCCAGCAGTCCCCTGAAGCCATATCGAAATCCCCAGAGGCACTGATTGGCCTCAGGCTGTGTAGCAGGGAGTCGATCGCGAAGGACGAATCCAGCTTAGGTCTGTACAAGTCATCCTGCGGTGGGAAAGAGTTTCCAGAAGATGTGGGAGGGAGCGAGGTCACAGGTTCAGGGGGCGCCTCAGACTCAGGCTTGTGTCCCTGCATGATGTAAGGAGCCAGATCCTGAGCAAAGATGGTTTCATCCTGGCGGGACACGGCCGTGTTCTGCCTCTTGAGAAGCTCCACAGGAATGCGGCTCAGCTCCACTGCCCAGAAATTGCCTTTGCCCTGTGGCTTACCTGGGTCTTTCAATACCTACAAGGTGGAGGAAGGATGGACAGAAATATTAGTGCTTGTCTGGACAACCTAGTCTGACAGGACTGGCAACCTAATAATTAGCACAACACAAGTGATTTAAAGTGGATTCTAGGTTTTAATAGAAAGACTCCAATGGTGTATTTCTACAGGAGTAGGTTGTTTTTTAGTTTTTTTTCCCCTCTGTTTAATGATCATTACATAACATTTTACCATACAAACCTTAACAAAGCAGTCATATGAGGAAAGGTTGTGTCGCACAGAATCTCGCCAGCCTTTGTAGTTTCCTTTGAAAAATGGAAAGAGGGTACTGATCTCCTTGAGGATCTAAAATTTAAACAAATATCAGCATTAAAGTCTGAACCAACACACACACACACACACACACACACCAGCATCACAGATTTTCACTATATTAACTGCAATCCATGCTTGCGTAAAAACAGCTCGGTGAAACTACAAATTTCAACGAAGGATTTGGATTTTTATATTCATTGAACTTAAAATTGAAACAAATTGAAAATACGTTTTCCATCTGGTACAAAAAGTGAATGGGGCCCCCATTTGAAGCCTAATATTGGAATGTACTGTATATCTTATCACTGTTTCTGATACAGATCTGCGTCTGGTTCCACTGCAGTCCAGCCTTATCTCAGCAAACCAAGAAGGGAACGGGTAGAAGTCACTCAAGTGTCACGACGATGTGGCTGTTTAGTGTCACTTTAGGAACTGTAAATGATCTTCTGGGACAGATTGTAGAAATTTCGCATAAAACTCTAATGGAGTCTACTCTAAATACACGACGCAGTGATGGATTTGCTTCTGCTGATGAAATAAGTGACGATCATAAGCGGCACCGTGCGTAAAACACCGCGCGCGTCGTCTACTCACAAATGCCAAACTCCGGCAGCATTTACACAGTTAACACATAAAAGCATTAGTTTTATCATTACCTCCGCTAACGTCAGCTTCTTCTCTGGAGACCTCTGGATGACCATAGCGATCATTGCAAGATAGGAATACGGAGGTTTTGGATACCTCTGGTAGTTCTTTTTCTTCCCATTGCCGGCATTTCTTTTCTCCCGTTCACTTTTCCACATGTCCTGCGTTTCATCCTGCTTAAACTGTCCATCTTGATCATTCGGGTTTAAAGATCCAGGCGCTTCCTCTTTATCCATGAATCCTGTGGCGCCGGTGAGGTGTTCGGGGCGCTCCGTTGGTTCCTCCGAGCGCGGCAGCTGCTGGGGAGGCATCGGATCCGTGAGGTAAGGCCAGTATTGGGCCGGTGAGCTCCACGGCGCTACGCCGCTAGGAGAAAAACTCTGCTGCTCATTTCTGTGGAAGTCAAGTTGATGGTCGAGAAGTTCTCCTAGGTGGGATGAAGCGATCGGTGCCAAGAGACTCTGCCCCGGCCAATGCTTTGTCATGCTGATCAGTCAGAGGAGGAATATCGCTCTGCACGTAGAGGGGGAGGAGGTCAAAGAGTCGGTCCTTAACTTCTGGCAGACTGCTGGCTCCAGGCTGACTATTTGAAGAGCAAACAATTAACAGTTTCATGTAAATCCCGCTGCGTAATCGGGGGGATGCGTTATCTGAAAGCAGAATGACTGATCGGCCCTGGGGGCTGGGCTGGGTCTGTGTGCGAAGAGGGGAGAGAAAGACAGGGCAAAACTGTAAACCACCCGTACGATACCTTATCAACACGCAACATAGTGATTCCACAACTACTTTAAAATCTCTGTTTACAAGATTCGTGGATGGAGACTTTAAATGTTTGGGGAACACATCTACATTAATACAAGTCTGGCTTTACACAATTACACATTTTAGTCTTATCGTACACTTTTTAAATTATTTGTCTATTTAATTTTAATATCACTAAAGCTTTTACTTGGGCTTAGATGTAAAAGGTGAAACTTGTGGGGGTAGGGTGGGTACAAATATTTTCGATTTAACCTCGGATGCAATCAACAATTTAGATGAGCAATATACACAAGAGAGGGCTAATATACAAACACTGACGATGCCCCTTTCAGTACTTAATTTCTTTATTAATTATTAAATAAGCAATTCAGCCTTCACTGCCTACTGAATTCTTTTAGAATGGTTTTTAATTGTGAGAAACTAAAATCAAATTAGCCAAATTGTGTATTTGATTTAATTCCAGAGGAGAAACTATTCCCATGAAAGCTATTCCTAAAAAGAAAAAGAAAAGAATGAAGAAAAAAGCATAAACTACGCTGATTAGCTGATTAGTAGGTGCAGAATATTTGAAGTCGTCATTGTTTTGTGTTGTTTGATAACGCGCTGCAGTCGACGGGGGTGTTTTTCCACAGTGGGGTCTCCCTCTGGAGTGTTGAGCATGCCATTCAGCGCTGAAAAGACTATTTTCGGGTATGCGCCTCTTTTGTTCAACTTAACGTAGTGCTAATGTTGAAACTCTTGCTTCCCAGCAAGACAGTGAAAACAAGTTGGATTAGAAGAACCCCCATCGGGAAGCTGGAGACTTTTCCATCCCAAGAAAAAGAGAAGCTGCTTAGCATGTGAGGAAATACGGGGAGCGGGGGGGTTTCAACACCATTTGTGGGGTTTCTGGCGCTTACAAGCTGCTAAGTGTTGTAGTTGGGTCGAACATTCACACCTTAAACAGGGGCAATCACGTACACCCCCAGCTGCTGGAAAATGCCTCAATATCTCCCTCAAGCAGAAAAAAAAAAATATCAACAAGTCAACCAAAGCATCAACTTTAGGATCCATCATGTGACAAAGCGTGAACTTTGACACGGGATTGTAAGGAGTTTCGCACTAATGCGCAGATTAAAGATGATTTGATCCAACAGTTGTGTTACCTGAAAGTTACAGAAGCAGCAGAGCTGGAAACAACTCAGTTTTCCTGCAATTAAAATCCATTCACTTTTAATGGGCGCTACTGGGCGTTTTCACATTGACCCCCACTCACATCACAACACTCCACAAGTTAACCTTAAATGTCCAGGCAACAAAGCTGATGACGCTCTTTTAATCAGGTTGCTGTAAAAATTAGAATAAAAAAGGACGCTCTGCTCGTTTTTGCTTTGTTTCAAATAAATAATTCGCCCGTGTGACAAACTTACCGCACAAATGTGTAATTTCTGCAGTCAAAAATATTTGAATGAGTTTCTTTGTTTGTTTTTCTAGGTCAGATGGCACTCCTAAACACGGTGAACATCAAATCTTCGTCGCACACCTGCTTCAATTTGGGTCAGTATTTTTCTTACACTGTCGGTGACCTTCCCTGGAGGTTTATCCCCACCTAGCGGTTTCACTCAAAAACCACAGAAGTATTAGAAGAATTAAAATTAAGCATAATTACATAAGATTCATAAATATGTAGAATTTAACGGGGTTAAATTCCTCATATCTCTTTCTATTTGAGAGATTCGGAGGCAATTAAACAGGTATAAGAATGATTCACAGCCTAAGAGTCTGAAACAAAAAATCAGATTAAAAATGGAAAACCTCTGTAGGTTATACATAAAGAAAATGAATACATGGTATATGTCTGAAAGTTAACAAACAGCTGAAATTAATGGATACATTTTCAATCAGGGAATGGCAGATTAATTGTAATGCTACAAAGTAACAGATAATAATAATAACGAAAGTAAAAGAGTTAACTAAATACAGTATTACTTTTAAGAGGTACTGGAAAAACAGTACCGAACACATGCTGAAACCTGACACAAAAAAGGGTGGGAATCACTGGTGTATATGGGGAATTTCCACCTGCATTTGCATAGCATTCTCCAGTGAAGGGCCCAGTGCCAGACGCACCGATTTGAATACAAACTGTCAATTCATCCCTTCCTGTTTGCTGGAATGCCAGTTAATAGGTTTGGTCTGGATTAGAGAGCCACACATAAAGAGAATGGGGTCCTACGTGAATAGGTCAGCATCGGGGACAGGGCTCTTTACATGGGCTGATTGAGTCCAGACAAATCCTTCCTAAGCTGTCATCCATCCCGATACTGGGATAGAGGAGGAAGAAAGGCATGCTCTTTGTCACAGAGAAAGTAAGGAAAAGTTTGATTTGAGATGTGTCAGTTAATACAAGAGTGACTTTTGTATAACTTAAGCAATAAAAAAGCATACCATTGGTTAGTACTAGCATTTAGAAAAACCTTCATCAGGTGTTTCTGACCTTTTGTCTGTAGGCTGGTATCAGGCAGTTTATCTGTCATGCCACATGAAATCTGACTTTTCCGAAGCATTCAAAACCAGAATAATGAAAAACTAAAAGGCCTGAAAATAATATTTTCATTTACGGTGAAGATTTCTTTTCTTTCCTGACACAGAAATGGATAATAAATATTTGTGTAAGCCAAATCTAGTTGATTTTAAACATGGGCATCACTGGTTTCACAAGGCTCTTCACATGGGCTGATTGAGTCCAATCCAATTACTGAGTCACTCTTCTCTTTGTTTGCCATCATTTTTATGAAACTCATTCTATGCATATTCAAAACACTTGAAGAAGCACTGCACTGAATCTTCTCCCGAGGACCAGAGATGGTAACAAAAGCTCCAATGCAGGTTCCTTGTTGTGACTCTGCAGGGTATCACCGCTGTGATGCATAGCTGAGTCACTGCGGGGGTCAGCAGGTCACAGCGTCTTCAGTGTCTATCTCTTTTTTAGGATTTAGTAACTGATTCCAGTGCTCACAGGGACACCTTGTGTATTTCATTGTCCAGCAGTGTTTTTGGTTGAGTGCCTCAAAGTTGATTTTTAATTATGGGAGTGTTAAAGACACACTTGTTTAGGCTTGTGTGTTGCAGCGATTATCATTTAGTTACCAAACACATCTTAACAGTTTACTGTGAAAAGACTGCAGTGAATTCACATTTCTAAGAATGCAGGTGCATAGGCAAACACATCCTTATACATGCAAACACACCCTCAATATTTGACTTAAAAATGAAGGATGGGTTGTTTTTACACTAAGGCAAGTTCAACCTGTTTATTTTTTAATGTTTTTTTTAAATTGCTTTTTAGTAGTTTTTTTGGCAATACTGTGTATTTACAAGTATCTATTAGTGTTTGTTAGTATTTATTGAATGTCTATCATCAAGGCTGGACTGGTAATTTTTCATACCGCGCATTTGCCTGGTGGGTCAATATAATTTTCGTTGTTTGTTTGTTTGTCTTTGGTCGATATGTTTATACAGGCAACAGGTCGTAGGGCCGCTGTGCACCGGGCCTTCTAACACTTACAGCAGCCCATTGGTGCATTTTCATTATTGACACTGGATTGCCCAATCAAATATCTTAATTTCAAACTGTTCCCTCCCCTGCCAGCGTTCCCTGTGCGCCCGCGCACCTTGTATAAGAGATTTTATTGTGGAAGACGTGGTTGATAAAGACAGCGAAACGAAAGGTGGAGCTGAAAAGCTGAGAGGCAAAAAGAAAGACAAACAAAAATGCAACAAAATGAGTCAAATTAACCGGCATGTTAGCAGCTACACTGTCAACAGCAACAACTAGTAAAAAAAAACAAACCCTCGCGTCACAAACAACTGCTGTTCTTAGCACTAGTCTTGGAGAAGTGCAGGAGGAGGGACAGAAATCCCAAAAAGAGAATGGTAAGAAAATAGATGGAGGGGAAAAATTAGGAAGGGCAGAGATTCAAGTAAAATGAATGGCTACTTTGACCACAAGCCACCGCTAATAGCTAAAGTACAGCTTTTAAATATAACATGATGCACTACAGTATAACTCATTATTAGTCAGTACATAGTGTCGTGATTGCTTTTGTATCAGTCCTGGCCTGTCTAGCATGTATGTGGAATTTGTTAATGCCCCCCTGGGGATGAATAAAGTATCTATTAATCTATCCACTTAAAATATATTTATAGAGCCATTATGTTTGTTGCCATTTCTGCTGCCCTCTTGGCCAGATCTCATTTTAAAAAATACAATTTTTTATCTCACACCTTTTTTTGTACCTGGATAAATAAATGATGTACAAAATTCACTTTGTCAAAAACTTGATTGCTGCTTACACATTGGGATGTTTTTTTCTTTTGTAACAGTTTAAATACGGGCATGTTTTTTTGGCAGATGATCACCTGTCTCCTGCCGCCCCCTGGTGGAGGCTGTCCGGCGGGAGGAGAGGGCGCAGGTTCGGTTGTTATGGTGAAGCATTTCCCCAGAGGGCTGGCTGAAGCTGGAGCTGCGGCGGACAGCAGCTGATTCAGTTTCACCGCTCGCCCAGGACCTACCGCTGACAGGCAGCGCAACAGGTAAGATGTCGCCACTTTGTTTTTCTATTGTTTTACAATGAATCTGAACGTCCTGCTCGGTTCAAACGATTGTGTATAAGCTGAACTTAGTTGTCGCCGAGACGTTAACGTTAATTATCTGAGGGCAGCGGCTCCGAGTTCAGCGTCGGTGAGCAGCGAGCTAATGCGAAGCTAAGGTAACGTTAGCATAATATGACTTCACCACAGGTAGCCGCACAACAGGTACGCTTGCCAATTTTTCAACTTATAAAGTCAAGCGTGTGGGATACAACTACGTTATGAGAGCTACGAATGAAGCAAGTGGGGAAAGAGCCGCTTGCATTACCTGTCAGCAGACAATACACCTGTTGGGCTTGTCTATGAACCGCTAGGTCGGTTAGCTAATCCCGTGACAGGAGCTAAAGCTTCCGCTGCTGTTGCTGTTAAAACTTTCCATTATTGTATTAATGTTGTTTAGCGCTATAGCGATCTCATCAAACTGTGATGAAAAAGTGAAGGTGATTTGGGACTAAGTTTAACTTATTTTTTTTAAAAGCTAAATATATCACAGCAGCGTGAAAGGGCGACGTGCCAACTTATACAGTTAATTACCCTGACGTAAAAAAATACAACTCATTTATCTTACATGCGGCAGCTCAGAGTTCAGGGTCAAGTAGATTCAATCATTTACTGAAATGGGTTTTGTTGGATTACTTTAACATTAGTTGAATTAATCAACTATTTTGTTAATAATAATAATATAATAATAAAAATAGCAAGCTCAGTCTGGCAAATGATATTACAGGTTGATGACTGAATGAATAATAATGAAAAATTCCGATATCTTATGATAACATCTCTTTTCTCAGCTAAAAGCGAATTGTAAAGAGAATTGATTTGCTTATTGTGAAAATAGGCACACTGCACAGGGGCAGACCCACAAGTCTGAAGGGATTAAGGAAGAAAAGGATTATTATTCACAATCAAGCACGGCCCTTCAGCTATTTGACTTTAACCCTCCATCAATAACTTATTAACCTAAATAAACTCAGGCATTTGTTCTTGTCAGGCCTATGTTTAAAGTGCCTCTTCAACAACATTGACTTGGTATGTAAAGTTAAATATTTGCAGGTTTCACAATATAGACTAAAATTAGTGTGAGGGCTCCTTGATACACGATGTGACAGCCCACACAGTGCTACGTGCTTTCAGAGACTTAGGAAGAATGGATAAAAAGGCCGGACTGTGACTTTACAGCAAGAGTAGCAATCGCCACTAAACTAATAGATTAATTCTGTCGGGTTTGGGGCTCTCTCTCATCTTACTGAGGCATTTCTTTATTATCCCATTATGGGATAATAAAGATACATCTCATCCTGTCACCTGGCTCCGTTTAAAGATTCCTGTTTTCTTTTTGATTTGATTTGATTGGTAATTTATTTCAACATGTGAACAATATACAAGTACATTTAGAAAAGAAATAAGAGAGAAAAAAATACTATACAAATTACATACAAAAAAACCATTCTGATTAATTTACATGTTTTTTGTTTCTTCGCTTCTCCTCCTCCGCTCCAGCATGACATGACCCTACTTCCTACTTACAAGCAGTCAGAGGAGTTAAAGTCAAAGCTGGTCTGGCTGTCTCCTCCCCCTCCTGTCTCCTCCTCATATTCTTCTCTATCTCCTTCACATTCTTTCCTCCACATCCTTTAACCCTCTCTTTCTCTCTCTGTCCACATCCTGTCTTCCAAAAAAAGCAGCGGCTCTTTTGTGTGACGTATCTTCGCCTTCATCATTGTGTTTTTTGTTTCTCATGGTCTCTCCTAACCTTTGGCTGCTTGATAGAATTACTGAGATTTCTGAGTGATTACATGGAGCAACTCAAACCTTAACACATGACAGGGCTTATTGTAGATCCTCCTCCCTCGCTCTCATTTGTAGTGATTATAATTTTGTCCGTCCTTCAAGGGCTGCAGCTACAAACATTTCCTGTATCAGTACCCAAAGTGG